ACATGTTTGGGCTAAATTATAAAAGGATAAAATGACTTTCGGTTTAGTCAGCGTATTAGTGAAATAATTTTGAGAAGAAAAAATTGACGCCCAATACAGTATCATCAAGTGCCTAGCGGAAGATTCTTAAGTTATACTCGTATACCTCTAATACTTAAAGTAAAACACTCTTTTTATATATACATTTTAATTATAATTATAAAATATTATATTATTATTATAAAATATAATTTATGTACATTTTAATTTTAATGTTTTTATATTTTATGTATAAGTAAAGGTGCCTATAGGTATTTGATATTAGGTAATATTAATTATAAATACATCACAAAAAAATATTTTTTTTTACGTAAGTCGATCCTTAAAAGAAAATCAATATTATATATTATTCTCAGTAAAATTTAATCAAAACAAGTTTGGCCATCACTGTAAATATAATAATATTACTATACCTGTCGTCGTCGTCGTAATAATATTATTATTRCATACCTTTTGAAAAACGCTTCGGGATAAGAGCTGGTTACGCGGTTCAGGACGACGGCGGTGGTGGCGAAGGGCTGCTGTTGCAGTGGATTGCCGACGGCGGAGGTCCTGGACGCGGTGCACGACGCAAAATCCTTGTCGCGAGACGGCGACCGCGGCATCCGACAACCGGTGGCCATTATTATCGGCAGATTTTGTCCGACGCCGCCACCGCTTCCGCCGCCGCGGTTGTCCTGCCGGTGACACGACTGCAGCCCTCCGTCGCTAGACGTCATCGGTACCCACGCCGCGGTATTCTTTGTACAAACCGCGACCTAACCGCGTTTGTTGATAAAATAACAATCAAATATAGGTAGGTAGGTGTGTCGTATTAAACGCCAGTTTTGACGGTGTGTTGGCGACTACACGTATTACACGTTCTGCTGCAACTTGTGGCGCGGCGCACTTTCGCACGYTTTCCGCTTCAAAGCCTGGTGGTGTTTGTGGTGGACGCGGCGATGGTGCGAGTTTTCGGGCCGACGGGCGCGTACTGCACTGGCATCCAGACCGGGTCGCGTGCGTAACACAACAAAAATACAAATTTAATCGATAGTAGAGAGACTCCCGTTGTAGGCGGTGTCGGCGATATTGGCGGCGGCGGYAGCGTACCATAACTCACACATCATACTATTATTATTACTACATAATATATTGTGTATAAATCATAATGTCGCATCCAGTGTGACCGCTTCGGCGGAGCCTCTGAGTGTATATAGGACATATTCAGGGCCATAGCTAGGAATTTTCTATGGGGAGGGTCCGTCCATACCTCTTTCATACTACATCTTAAAGGAATTTTCTGGTAACCACATAGTGCATTCAATGATTGAAATAATGTACTATGCATTTAACATTTAGTATAAATGTTTAAAAGTTATGAAGATCTATAAAAAAWTTTAGTTATGACCAAAAAATTAAATAAAATCTGTTATTTGGGCAAGCACTTATAAAAAATAATAATAATAAAACTTCACTGTAAAAAATAGGTACTTCATAAGATGTCCAAAAAAATGTTAATGACCGGAAATTACTCGTATTTTAGGTAAACTGTGCTCCAAAAAAAAAAAAAAAGTTCTAGTTATTTAGGTTTAAATACTATTATTTATAATCAGCTAGTGGTTATAGTCACATTATAATACTAGGTGCGTTAACTGAGCCCCCGAAATTTCATTAATTTCCATTCAGGGAAGTACAATTTAAAATAAGTACAACTTACGCTCACCYAATAGTCTACAATGACGTGCTAAGTTATAGGGGTGTTAATATCACTAATTAATTTCACTAATTGAGTTTWAGCGGGGGAYCCTAACCTTGGAAGAACTTAAATAYTACGCTACCATGTAGTGTGCATTTAATCGTTTATAATCTCGTGATAGTGAACTGTTAGTGTAGTAGGAATTCCTTATGAATATAAAAAAAATTAACCTTACGACAAGCGAAAACAGKTGAGAGGTCTATTACTAAAAAATGTTTAAAAAAAGTGATATTAAAATTGGTATAATAGATATGTGTTTTTTCTTTTAATTCGAAGATAATAAATAATAATAATATAGGTATCTGGTATACTATACCTATATAGTATGAGTAATTTTAATGATAAAAATCTATTAACACCAGAAAAACAAATAAATCGATAGTTTAGATAACTTAAAAAAC